GTTAGACAAACGTTTCAATACAGCTTTCTCTAAGTTGCCGAAGAAAATGCTTGTGCTTTTGTGCTTAAGAAGTCGTCGCGTTGGAGAAAATATTTTCCAAATGTCATAGCTATGAATTGATTTTCTACACATTTTCAAAAAGCTAGCCAGACCAGCTCGGCTTGCATTTAAAAACATTCTATTATTGGTTGATTTACACTTAGGCCAGATTATTTTACCCAGTAGAACTTTACGGAACCAGATTTCCCAAATATCGTAAAAATGTAATTAGTTCTACGGGTTTTTCACTAGCAACAATGATTGCTTACTTTAAAGTGTCTTCTTCATAAAGAACTGATATTTATTGGTATTTAGAGTTTCTCCATCTAACACTTTAATTAAATACATATACTCATAAAGAGATATGATATATATGTGTATGCTATATATATGATATATGAACGGAATGGGCTTAGATGATGGATTGTTTATCCCATAAATACAGATTGTTATTAGCTTGTTTTTGGTTTGTCAAAACAAATTGCCTGTCAGAGATTAAGTTGATAAAGCACAGCTGTAAAGTTTTGTGTGGGATTTCTAAACATTTCTTAACATTTCGTCAACTTCATTAAGTGTGGTTGTAACTTGGGAACATGCAATTAATGAGCATGGAAAACACAGCAACAACTCAATGAATAACTTTCTTTGGCATGCCGTCATTTAAGTGAAGTCCCATAAGGTGCACTTAGAGTTACAGCAATAGCAACAACCAACAACAAAAAGAAAAATACTTTAAAAACCATATGTATAAATATATATGTATATATATATATATATGTGATATACTTAAAAAAGAGAAAAACAACAAAAGCCTCTTAAAAAGTTTACTCGTAATTGCGATTGCCAAAAAAAAAAGGAGCGCTTTAACGTTTTATTTTTTGGAGAATGTGGAAAAAGGTAACATAGACAGCAGCAGCAGCAGTTGGTTGTTGGTACGTAGGTACACACACACACACACACACATATGTGTGTATACTATGAACCGGTTAGCTATTTACACACACACACACACACATGTGTGAGAGTGTTTGGAGCCCCCCTAAAAGTTGATTGAACCTCGGCGCTGCTGATTGAGTAACACACATTTAATTGATTTAAATGCGCGGCTTTTGCTTAATTGCACAGAAAAGAAAAACAGCTAAGAAACGGTGGCCAATTATAATTACAAGACGAAAGTGAAAAGACAACAACAACAACTACAACAACAATAAAGAGTAAGTAAGTACCTTCGCCCTTTTGATGCCAGTCAAATGGAGAAACAGTCAGTTGATTGCGATAGGCACGACTATCAAATACCCTGAAGTGGCAAGTGAACTTTTGGTTAGTCGATAGTCGAATCGTTTTCGTGCTCGCTTCGAGTATCGTGCTGCTCTCTTCACAGATCATTAAAATGTTCTATGTTATAGGTAATACTCTAGGAAACTGTAGTTATTGCATTCGTATATCGATTTGTATCGATATACGCAAAGAATTATCGATCAAGTGAAATTCAAAGGATATGCGTATATATATATATATATATATATATATATATATATATATATATATATAAATGAAAATGTACGTTCTAAATTTAAAGTCTTCGTCTCTTATAGTCTCTGAGATCGACTTGTTTATACAGAAAAATAAACGGCAATGATTTGATTGGCTGTTGATGATGGTCGGGAATTCATTTATATGTTAACAATGGGGTTAAAGATGGATTGCATCGGCCTCTTTTTTTAATTTCCAATGGAACCTCTACATGAGCTAAGAATCTATTGACAAGGCTCTAAATTTCTAATTTTAATTGCTGTTTTTCTTTTTATATGCAACAACCAAAGCTTTCAGCTTTTGGCGAATAAAAATATCGCTTAAGCTGAATACAATTTTTCCATAATATTTAAGATTTAACTTTTGATTACGTATCTATGCAGATTGGATATTAAGTAATAATCAACTTTTGATTGCCATTGATTTCCATTTATAAAATACTCTTTAGCTTTAATCTTTAATCGCTAGCTGCAATCATTCCGCAAAACACTTACAGGCAATCTAATCGATTTATAGTGCATATTTCCAATTTTGGTTGCTTGCTCACTCTCTCTCTCTCTTTGTCTCAATCTATATCCCTCTCTCTCTCTCACGCATGATAAATTGTGATTGAGAATCAAGCGAAGCAACTCTTTTGCGGGTTTGTGGTGTGCAGGGTATACGGAAGATAACGCAACGGGTCAATCGAGTTCACTGTCACTTTCACTCCTCTCATTACACCTCATCCTTCTATCCCTCCCTCTCTCACTCTCTCTCTGTTTCTCTCTCCCTCTCGAACTGCTGCTCAATGCGAGCTGGCGACACTTTTGCCGCAGCCTTTATCGGCGTTTATCGACAGGCCAACACAGCCGCGGAGTACAGCTAGTCAGAGCGTGGGGCGCTTGCGGGGGGAATGTGGACGGAATTGGGAGCGTCGTGCTGAGAGGAGAGGGGGGTTGGTTCAGGCAAAAGATGACGTGAGTTGACCGCTTCAGCATTTAACTGTGCATTTAATGTGGCAGTTTTATTGGTGTTTATGTTTTGGCTGTTTGTTTTAATAGTGGGCATTGTTGTTGCTGTTGTTCTTGTCTTTGCCCAACGTCCAATGTGCGCTGACTGAGCTGTTAGCCAAAAGACGTAAGCCGTAAGCCGTAAGCCGTAAGCCGTGAGCTGTGAGCCGTGAGCTTTGTTAACTGGTTGCGTTTTATTTGCGTTGCCAATTGTTGCCAATTGTTGTAAGTTGCCAGTTGCGGCAGCTGAGACAAGATTTGACTTAAGGGTTTTTCGGTAATACGTATTCTGTGGAAACAATAGCCAAAATCACACACAGAATCAACTAAGTGTAATCGAATAATCGAGTCTGACCGACTATGAAATACTCTGCACACAAACATTCTTTGTTGCGTATACACAGAAATCGATGTATATCGTTTTTGGTATCAATAAAATGAAACAAGTATTTGTTTATGAACTCCTGATCAAGAATCTATCTATATCTATCTATATCTATCTATATCTATATATATATATATATATATACCTAATGGGATCGCGCGTGCTTCTTTCTTCGTGTTAGCTAATTAAACTCATTGCAGAACACAAATTAGATTAAGAATTTAGGCAGTGAGTTTATCAGGAAAACTCATATGAAAACACTCAAAGTATGATTGAACAGCTTGTGCAATATACTTGTGTAATATAACTCACACACAATTTCAAGTTGAAGAACCATGAATGTATAATAATTAATCAAAATACTAAGACTTGTCGTGATTCATATGCATGTGCTTTTGTACGTATTTATTTATGAGTCTACATTCAGTAATGATTTACGAGTTTTCTTCGAAACCTTAAAAGCTTAACATATTTTCCATTTTCATTGAGCATGCAAATATTTGGGTTAAACCCCAAATCCAAACCCAAAACCAGACCCAAATACAAATATTTTATCAGTAGAACGTACATTTTTTGTGTTTAGTCAGCATTTGGTTATTTTATCAATGCAGGACCCACAACTCAAAATGATTAGATTAGTAAAAGTGAGTACAGTAAAACCGACGAAAATAAACAACTTGGCGTCACATAGAAACCAGTTAAAACAAAGGCCTATCTCTCTCTCTCTCTATCTTTTCTCTCTATCTGGATGGTATATAAATAATAAGAATATATGCAAAAACAATAGCCAAATATTTCTTTGCAATTCTGCAAGTCGAGCAATTGAATTTCTCATATACAAGATATATATATATATTAATTTGAATGATTAATATGTATGATTTGTGTGTTTGGCATGTGGAAAAGTTGCACACTGGGTCAGTTCAGTCAGAACGAGTTAACAAGTTTTCAAGGCCAGAGAACACAGAACACAGAACAAGAACTGTGCAGGTGGAACAGGCAACTGCTGATATAGTTAGTTGTAAGTTGTTACTTGTTGGTTACATGTTGCATGGTGTTTATAGTTTGTTGCATTCCTCACAAGTGAAAGTCGGCCTCAGTCTCAAGGCTGCTGCTGCTGCCTGTCCAGCTGCCTAATCCGAGACCCAAATAGATTTATTTGCTGTCGCGTTTAATTGAAAAACCAATGACTTTATGTATGTGTGTGTGTGTGTATGTATTGCCGGGGAGAGAAAAAGAAAAGAAAAACAGACAAAAGATCCTCAGGAATTGTTGCTCCTATTTAGGTAGACACACAACAAAAAGAAGTCATCGAAATGTGAGCAAAAGAAACGAAGAATGAGAAAATATAATGATGATGATAATGTCTGGGAAAGACAGAAAGAAAGAAGGCAGACACACAGCACTTGAAATTCTTCCTTTCGTTAAGCCGACCGCCTCCGCAGTGTAGCCCTCTCGCTCCCTTTCTCTCTCTCACTCTTTCCCACTCGCTCACACTAGCGACATTTCCTGCTGCACTGGAAATTGGCGTCATGGGAAGCTAAGCACAGCTAAGCAGAGGAAGCAGAAGCAGAAGCCGAATAATAAGAATCTATTCTCACATTCGCCTTTTGCATGCGGGAATAGTATGTAAATTATACATCGTTTACCAAGAATGTTTGCTATCTGCATTAATACGTAATTTATATATGACTATATAGGCACACATATATGTATAGATAACACACGCCTCAAATTTAGATAAAAAAAAACAAGTTCACTTTAAGTATTGTTTTAAGCTACAATTTAAATTGATTCGTAGTACATCCATTCGTACACTCACAAAAATTGCCTTGGCAAACACTTGTTAACAACAGTACAAAAAAAACAAAAAACAGTAAAAAAGCGATGAAAAAACCAACAACAACAATTACGCGCACTTGTTGTGTTAAATAAATGACAACAGCTAAAAACTAAATAAACAAAAAAAAACTGCGTAACAAGCGCAAAAAACGCAACAACCACAGCGACAACAACAACAACACCAACAAGAATCGTGGCGACGAGCTACGAACCAACGACGACGAGCGACGCAACGAGTAAGCGAGCCAAGCAATGAGCGAAGTGCGCTGCGCTCGCGTTTCGTTTTAAAACTGAAGTCGACTCGCACACACCAAAGCCAAATCGTTGCGACGCCGATGCGGCGGCGATCGTGCAGCGCGACAGGTGAACAGCGCCAGAGAGAGAGAGAGAGAGAGAGAGAGAGAAAAAGAGAGAGAGCGCAATTGAGAGCGAACTGAACTGTGAATATGCTTTGACGTTAGAGAGAGCAGCAACAAACAAACAAAATACAATTGCAAGCAGGCATCAGTTGCCCTCAAACTTTGCATGCCATGCATACGTGCATGTCGGCCAGTGGCTCTCAAACGTGAAGGTGACCAAAGAACCCGGGGAGAAGAACAATGAATGGAATGACCAGCACAAAAAAAAATTACTGAATGCGCCTCTTGGCCATGCCATGCCACACCAGACCATAGGGTGAGCAGTTAGCCAGTCTGCCTGTTTGCCAGTTTGCCAGTTGCCAGTTTGTCAAGCGGAACGTAAATAGGCACGCAAAAAAAAAAAACTCAAACAAGAAACAACAACAGAGCTGCAAGCAAAATCAGCGCAGCTTAAACCAGTCAACCTGTTGATGCTCTTAACAAATAATATACACAAATATACACACAAAATAGTTAATCACATTTTCACACAGCTTGTTGAAATGCCAACCAAAATTTCAACTATTTTTTGCGTGGTTACTCGATTTTTTAATACTCTTTCTAGTGTTATTGTTTTATTTTCTAGCTACAGCATTCTGTAACAACAAATTCAGTAAGAAAGTCAATGGACTCGCATTTCATTACAAGTCAAAAAAGGGAACAACAAAGCTTGGCTAATGAAGAAGAATGCAAATCTGCAGGCGGCCAACCACGGGATGACGACAGGTAGGAACTCCACTGAGATAGAGTGAGAGAGAGAGAGAGAGAGAGAGAGAAATATATGTAAATATATACATAAAATAGACAATTGCCGAGGGCGCTCAAGGAGGAAGGGGGCTGGTTGGGGGGATGATATTGCATAATTGGCAAGAACTTGGCAAAACGATGGCAATCATTTCCTTTTCCACATCCCCTTTTGGGCCAGGCCAGTAAACATAAAAATGGATTGGCCTTCAGCTGCAAAAATCTTGTTATTGTTGCTGTTGCTGTTGCTGTTGGCTATCAAATTAATTCTAGCCTGTAAACGTAATGAAATTAAACGAACTGGAAAGCTTCCTTTACGAATGAAAAGCCTCCGCATCGTTGGCATAATTAATGAGAGAAAACCAAAACGCAAAATCAACTTAAAATTTATTCAGATATGAGTATGTATGTATTTATGCATTTATGTATTTATGTATGTATGTATGCACTTGCAAACATGCATATATTCAATTTATTATTGTAATCATTAAATGTTGCTGTCGGTGTGTGCGCAAAATAATCAGAAATGAAACAGGAAGTAAATCGAACTGAGCATATAATAACATATTATTAAAAACAATGGATATATATATAGACATATGTGTGTGTGTGTGTGTTTATTGAAAGTTAGTAACCCAAAGTGCAATTAAAATCAATTGTGATTTTAGGTTTTATTTGAACACAAAAAGATATTAAAATCCGATTCGATTCCATTTTTATAGAAACATTTAATTTATAACAAATTCAATTAGCTTACAGTTTGCCGACCCAAACACAGTGGCTCGCAAACTGTAGCAACTGATCTACTACATCCGTATGTGTGTGTGTGTGTGTGTGTATGTATGTATCTATATAAGCAGTTATTTATGCATGTATTTGTCTTCAACTGGTGTTGTCAAAGCTTTGGGCGCATAAAACCGTTAATTCGATAGACGTCTCATTAGTGGCAGACAGACAAAGACTTCCGTTCGAAAATAGAGAAAAGCCAAAATAAATAAAGCTGTGTGTCACCGCCAAACGGCAAAGTAAGACAGCAACACATGGCGCCGTTTCACCACCACCCACCCAAAGCACAAACGAAACACACACGCAACTAATGAGCCAGCCAGCAAGCAAAGAGAGCAAGCGAGAACGGTAGAACGGAAGAACGGGAGAATGGGAGAGCAACAGCTGCTCAATCAGAGCTTTAAAATGTAAGTGACAAATGCTTGTTCGATATTTTTGCACAGAACTTCGCTAATTCTCTCTTTCTCTATTGTTCTCCCTTACTCTCTCTCTCTCTCTCTCTTTCGCGCGCTCAGCTGATTTCTTGTATATTTCCTTACACATTTTTAGTGTTTACTGCTTCACGTACTTTTCAGAGCTGGTCTCGTTTTGCAGTCGCGTGTTTGCACGCTGTCCAAGCGGTTTGACTGGTCCATTTGGGCGGCTTGTAGCTTGTAGCTTAGAGCGTCTAACACTATAGATGTATGCGCTTGTGTATGTACGTGTGCATGTGTGTGTGTGTTTCTATGTTGGCCTAAACTAAAACAAAAGGCGGGCAAGTTCATTCACCATTTCACCTAATTTTTGTCGATGCTTTTTGCTTTGACTTGAGTACGTTTTTTAACTTTTGCATTGTTCGCAGCCACTAAGACTCCCCCCACCCCTTCGTAGAACTTGGTGGGTAGCAAAAACGTAATACGTAATACGTATACGTATCACGTAGTTCCAATATGGAGGCGTGTCATGAACAGAACTGTGCTTTTGGTGACCTATTTTAACAGCTAATTGCTTTGATATATTAAATAATAAGTTGGCAACAATGGAATATGATCATTTTATTTTTAAATGATAATGAATGTAAATGCTATTTGAAAATGTGCAGTACATTTGGATGAGTTCATCTGCGATCCTCATTTCGCGAATTTCTACGCGGCTTTTTTATTTCTTTCTTTTTATTATTCTTTTTCGAGCTTTACAGACGCACAGAGAGAGAGAGAGAGAGAGAGAGAGAGAAAGAGAGCAAGAAGATAGTTTGTCAATGCAACAGCACTTCAAAGTCTCGGTACGCTTCACTGCGCTTTGACATCCGGTCTCAAGGTCATCGCAGCAAGGTTGCAAAAAATAAAACAAAAAAATGTTGCAAGCATAAGTTACCGTTGAGCGCAACTCTCTCGCTCTCTTGGGAGTTATATGCTCGTGACGCCAGATGTCGCCACACACACGACTGCTTCTCAGCAATCCCTCCCAAAAAAAAAAAAAAACATTGAATGTTGTGCGTGTGAATGTTGAATGATGAATGAATGAATGGTGATTTGCTCCCATTGCGGCATCGGTTGGCGTGTGAATACTGTGAAAACCACTGAACAATCGAGGGGCACTTGGAAGCGTGCACAGATTAAATGAATAGCAAGTGGAACAGCAATTGTGCATTTGGCTTTTCCAATATTCAACATTCAAATTTCATTTTAATCAAATCGATATTAGTGTGCTAGCGAATAGATAATGCTCTCGACTAGCTACGTGTAACATAGAACGCAATTTAATTGTCCGATAATCAGTACATATTATCTATAGATTTGCATGAAAAAATATTTATATGTATACCATTATCTATCTACAGTAATCGCTCATTAAGTGAAACGTTTTCAATTCTAACTTCTAAGCGATGATAAAGATTAAACTTAATCTTTTATTTAATTATCATCTCTGGATATACTATACATTGTAACAAAACGTAAATAAAGCACGTAATTAAATAAACAATACGATTTACGGAAGATTACACCACTGAGTGGCGCCATCTATGACCGCTTGGCGGTAGTTGTTAACCACTCGTCACATTTGAAAATGGTGTTTGTCTTGACTAAAAGCACATCATTGTCGACTGCTTTCAAAAGCTTCAAAGTCATCAAAAATAAGCCAATAAATGTGGTTATTGTTGCCGAATATAATATATTGTTGGTATTTAGTTGTTTACATTTACCTCAATATTTTGAAGACCACGTTTTCAGCTATCGCTGACAGCGATAAGATAGATACTTAGCTGGAAAACAAACCCTAAACCATAGACGATTTGCTAAGGAGCTTTTACGTTGCAACTTTTATTTGTGCGCATGACAAGGGAGCTTACAGTGGGACTAGATATGATTTAAACTAGTTTCGACAAACAAGTCAATTTTGATGGTCAACTCTGTCAATGCTAGTGTGGAAAAGAGAGTCAACTGTGGATGGTGGTCAACCAAGTCAACTAATCGAAATGCAAATAAAATGTTGAGTTTGTCAACTAGTTCAGTATTTTTTCGAGCGGTCATCAATAAATGATTTATCATGATTTGCCAACAATCTTAATGTATTAATAAATGCGCTAATGACATCCGAAAATATATATATATGTATATATCTATTATATCTGCAATGTGATGTCACAATTTAGCACGCTTCCGCAGCAAAATAAAAATAATAATAATAAAAGTTCAAAGTCAATAGGTGCCACTAACCCGATTGGCAACCCGATTGGCAGCATTTTGTGGCAAGCAGGCAACACCTCAATTCATTTCAATTCACGACTCACTGCATTTGCGGCATCTGTGGCATCTGCGGCATGTGTCAATTTTGTGGCTGCGTTTCGCTTGTCAAATTGAGTCAACGAATACGAAGAACATATTCAATTGGGTCATCGACGGACGACGCATTATTTATTACCAATACAGTTTGGCTCTTATCAGTCCCGTCAGACACCGATTTCTAATTTCCAATTTCCAATTTCCCATTCCCAATTCCCAATTCCCAATTTTCGGTTTTCCACTTGACTGCTTATCAGGCGGCAAATACAAATAAAGTTGTTCGTTGTGCTTACCTGCAATGAGAGAGAGAAAAAGAGAACAAAAATGAGTCTGAGAAATGTGTGTGTGTTTAATCAATGATACCAAAAATGCGATAATATATGTCTATTGGGGTAGGTAGATAGGTTCTATGCACCTATCTATAAGCAATGAAGTATTATTGTGCACTGCACAAAATAATCGGCAATAAGAAAAATGAAAAGTAAAGAAAATTGGGATCAAATATCAATTGTTTTAATCTGGTTATCGAAAAAAATGTATATTCCATCTTAAAATAAACACATTTAC